CCCATAACAACATATAAAAGCTTTCTCATCCTTATTTTATGGCTGTATAGTATTCAATCTATGAGAACATAGGATCATCTTTATTGATAGCCATCTGGATTGCTATCATTCTTGTGTTATTATAAACAAGGTTGCAATGTGGAACCCTGTAGTTTTGCACATGTAATTTTGTACATCCATATATTGTCCCCCAAACAGAAATGCTGCATCAAAGTATATAAGCTTTAGTAATTTTGATATTGACAAATTATTCTCCATTTAGACTGTACCAATTTAACTCCTACCAGCAATGTACAAGAGTATGTCCTTAGCCGTAGTTTTTCTAGTAGGTTGTGTTATCAAACTTAAAAAAAGAATCTGGAGAGAGACCCAGAACATCCAAAAGAAGGCCCAGCAGCTTGCATTGCTTCACAGCTGGGCCTCATCTGGGCTCCTTCAAAACCCAAACAAAGAAGAGGAATCTGCAGATCTCTCCGTAGCTCCTGCTGGGTAGCCTCAGGCAGAGGCTAAATTAGCACCTCCTTAGAGATCCAAGAGCCAGTGTACCCAGTGGTCAGAGGGGGACCATCCAGATTCCAGATCCTCGGATCCATAAGGGACACACCCAGAGGGCAGACTCAGTGAGCACCAAAGCCCCATTGAAGCAAGTCTTGCCCCATAAGGGTGTCTCCAGCACAGAAGTTCTCCCACCGTAGACACAGCTGATTCTCACAGCCAATTGGCCTGGAGGTCAATTCCTCCCAGTGATACCTACAATAATCAAGGCTTAACTACAACAAGACTGTGCACAAAGCACACAAAGGGATGCACCAAAAGTGTCTACCTCTGGTAATTGGGGAGGCTGAGCCACTGGGCCCTATAGGACACCTAGCACAGAAAGCCACTCTATGAACACATGGAAGCAGCCAAAATGCAGAGACAAAGAAACAGGTCACAAATGACAGAAATGGAGGAAAGCAAACTACTGGATATAGAGTTCAAAACCACGGTTATAAGGTTTTTCAAGAGTTTTCTAGAAAAAAATTTAGTGAGACCCTCAAGAAATCTAGTGAGACCCTTGAGGATATGAAAAAGGACCAACTAGAAATTAAGCATACACTGACTGAAATAAAGAATATTATACAGAGATCCAACAGCAGACTAGAGGATCACAAGAATCAAGTCAAAGATTTGAAATATGAAGAAGCAAAAAACACCCAACCAGAAAAGCAAAAAGAAAAAAGAATTCAAAAATATGAAGATAGTGTAAGGAGCCTCTGGGACAACTTCAAGCATACTAACATCTGAATTATGGGGGTGCCAGAAGAAGAGAGAGAGCAAGGTATTGAAAACCTATTTGAAGAAATAATGACAGAAAACTTCCCCTACCTGGTGAAAGAAATAGACTCACAAGTCCAGGAAGTGCAGAGAACCCCAAACAAAAGGAATCCAAAGAGGACCACACCAAGCCACATCATAATTAAAATGCCAAGGGCAAAAGACAAAGAGAGAATCTTAAAAGCAGCAAGAGAAAAACAGTTACCTACAAGGGAGTACCTGTAATATTGTCAGCTGATTTCTCAACAGAAACTATGCAGGCCAAAAGGGAGTGGCAGGAAATATTCAAAGTGTTGAATAGCAAGAACCTGCAACCAAGATTACTTTACCCAGCAAAGCTATCATTCAGAATTGAAGGTCAGATAAAGAGCTTCACAGATAAGAAAAAACTAAAGGCATTCATCACCACCAAACCAGTATTATATGAAATACTGAAAGGTATCCTTTAAGAAGAGGAAGAAGAAGAAAAAGGTAAAGATAAAAATTATGAACAACAAATACATATCTATCAACAAGTGAACCTAAAAATCAAGTGAATAAATAATCTGATGAACAGAATAAACTGGTGAATATAATAGAATCAGGGGCATAGAAAGGGAGTGGACTGACAATTCTCAGGGGGAAAGGGGTGTGGGGGGTGCAGGAAGAGATTTGAAAAAAATCATACACCTATGGATGAGGACAGTTGGGGGGTGGGTAAGGGCAGAGAGTGGGGTGGGAACTGGGTGGAGGGGAGCTATGGGGTGGGGGGCAGGGAAGAGGAACAACTGTAATAATCTGAACAATAAAGATTTAAAAAAAAAAAAAAAGAATCTGCCTGGCCTTGCCAGCATGGCTTAGTGGTTGAATGTCGACCTATGAACCAGTAGGTCATGGTTCGATTCCCGGGTAGGGCACTTGCTGGGGTTGTGGATTCGATCCCCAGAGCTCTCATTCCCTCTCCCTTTCTCTCTGAAATCAATAAAAAAATTTTTTTTTAAAAAACTCTGCCTGCTTGGTAGGTAAAAATAGCATCTCATTATAGTTTTAATTTGCATTACATTTTTAATAAATAAAGCTAGATATAGTTCATGTTTTTTAGCAGCTACTGATATTTCCTTTTTCTGTAAATTCTGTTAATAACCTATTTTTTTGTTATTGCACTGTTGGTCTTTTTTCTTAGGGTCTTGTAGAAGTTCTTTACATATTAGGGAAATCAGCCTCTCCTCTTATATGAGTTGCAAAGTATTTTTCTTAGTTTGCCACTTGTCTTTGCCTTTATTTATGTTTTTTATATAATTGAATTCATTTTATAGTTTTCCTCTTATAACTTCTGGATTTTGTATCATACTTTAAAAGACCTTCTCATTTGTGGATATAAACAATTTCCCCCTGGATTCCATAGGCACTTATTTTTTAAAATGTTGTCTTTGATTCATTTAGAATTTATCTTGAATTATCAATAAATTCTATTACTGCAAGACAGCTATTAATGATCCCTGCAACATTTATTGAACAATCCAGCTTTATTGCACTGATCTGAGATGACTTTTTAAATATAAAGTAAAATTTCAAATGTATTTGAGATTATTCCTGGACTTTACACTGTACCATTGACCTATCTAAGTAGTCCCCTAATTAAAATACATAAATATATTTGTTATATATTTTAAGTCTAAAGAACAATTTTCTCTCATTTCTTTTTTCTTTTTATTTAATAAACCAAACAGATCACCAAGGTTTGGACTATGTGAGGTTTTCAGCCATGGTCCAGTGAGTCACTCTTTCCCAAGGGAAACAGGTGAATATAGAGAGATTTACACCAGACAATGGCAACAGCTGAACATTTTAATTCTCTAGGGTGCTATATCTCAGAAGAGCATAGGACAGGAATTCTTGTTCCAACCAGAGTCTGGGTCTCACTTTGAGGGAAAGTACCCAATAGCTATGAGAAGAAAGTACACAGGTGACACAGTAACAGCTATGTGACTCTGAGCAAGTCATGTCCCCCTTCTGAACCCCACCTCCTCCTCTAGCCACGGAGAATTTGGGCCCAATACTTTGTAAGAATTTGTTGAATCTTGGAGATAAATAGACTCACTTTCCAGCCATGAGCTTTGTCTAGAGTGGAGCTATAATTTGTCCCCTTTAAAAGGTCTCTTGAAATACAACATCATTTAAAAGTGAGATCTTGCTGTTGATGGATATGTTCCAGTATTAGATGAGAAGGGGAATAAAAGCACATCCATTTAAAATCTGACAGAGGATCAGGGAGAATAAAACCCTCTTGGTTTAATGACAGGACTAAGTTGGGTTCAGTTTCAAGTTGCCATTGAGTTTCTGAGTTCTATAGAAGGAAGATAAAACAACCTCAAAAAGAATGATGTATATAACGGATTAATTTCCAGAGCACTCACAGATGCCATTTATGTTGCAAATCTTCCTTCCTGAATTGTTTTTAATTTTCAATTGAGGGGTTATTTTAAAGCAAATAGATGAACCTGGTGAAAGGGAGAAAGAGAGTGAGGAGGGAGTGTGGAAAAGAGAGGCTTTGTAATGACTTCCATATGAGGACTGCCTGGGACCCCTTTCTCCAACCTCATCTCCTTCCATCCTTTCTTTCACTTTATGTTTGGAACACATCATAATTCCCCAACTTGTACACTATTTCAAGCCTCTGGGTTCTTCCTTGGACTGCTCTATGTCCACGTAGAGAAGTAGAGTTCTTTATCCCTCCTTTTGGTATGCCCTGAAAACCATCTGCCTTATCCTCTAAAATAAAAGAGAGGAGAAGAGTGTAGGTTGGTTTGGCTCAGTGGATAGAGCATTGGCCTGTGGACTGAAAGGTCCCAGGTTCGGTTCGGTCCCAGGTTTGGTTCCAGGAGAGAGAGAGAGAGAGAGAGAGAGAGAGAGAGAGAGAGAGAGAGAGAGAGAGAGAGAGAGAGAGAGAAGGGTGAGGAGGGGTAGAGGGGGAAATTGCTTTACAAACTGGAAATTGTTAGAAAAACATGAGGATTTATTATTGTACAGAACATGGTCTGGGTTCTATTTGACATCTATGAGGTTTACAGAAATTGCTTAGTGAGCTTTCTCTTGGGTCTGGCATTGGGATACCAAGACATATGACATCTGATTCCTGCCTCCAAGTGCTCACAGTCATCTGTATGAAAAATAACACAACCATTAATAAGCAATAGTACAAGAATAAACTGTTTCGTATACTGGCAACTGTAAACCTACTTTTGCCCACCCTGTACAGGCAGGTGAGCAGAGGGTGCGGGGGGAGCAGGCAGCCGGAGGATGACCCACCCTGGAAAAGGGAGGGTCAGAGAACTTTCTAGAAAAGGTGTCCTGGGATAGCCCCAATTCCAAATCTCTTATTGGACTTTCCCTACCAGCACCTCCTTCCCCACGATGGAATTCAGCTGACGACCTCACTGAGGAAGGGGAAGCCATCCGGAAAGTTCTGCGCTTTCACTGCTGCCCACCCTGCTGGGCCCTGGGGAGGGTGGACCCTGCTCTGCCCCAGGAAGGAGCTGAGGGGAGACTCTGGGAGATGTTCCCAGGCCCGCAGCCAGAGACTGGGCAGCTGTTTGGGTGAATGGTTCCTGGAAGGACAAGGTCGATGCAGCCCAGCCAGCCCCCGCTTAGGACCGAGCTCTTCACGCCTCCACTTGCTCCATTTTCCCTTGTTCCTCCCACAGGTCCTCAGAGAGCGGGCAGCAAGGCTCTCGCTGTGCATGGGGGATGCCCAGGTGGAGAGGAGACGGCTCCTTCCCACAAGGCACGGAGGGGCGGAGCCAATGGGAGGCCCAGTCACTGATTCAGTGCTGACTGCACCTGACCATGGCTGACAGTAAGCAGAAGTGTCTGAGCCCTGCTAGCTGGAGGTCACAATCCAGGGAGGGCTGAGGGTGGCAAATGAGGAACACACTCCAGGGGTGTCAGGATGGGGGTCAAGCTAGGGAGAAACCCAGAACAGAGGAGGGGAGAGGGGGCTGTGGGTGGAGGTATATAAATGAAGTGGGTGGGCAGGTCAGGCCTCAGGTGGTGAGGAAGGTGGCCTGGAGCAAGATGTGAAGGAGGAGACTGTGAGCCCCTTTGCAGTTTCCACTGGGGGTGCTCGCCAGGCCCATGGGAGTCTCAAGCTTCAAGGAGCAGTGTGGGGGCGCCAAAGGGGGCAGGGGCAGTAGGAACACAGAAGTCTGCAGGGTGCCGGGAAGGGGAGAGGACCTGCAGGTGATGGCGGCTTTATTCTGATTGTGATGGGAGCCTTAGGAGGGTTTTGAGCAGAGAAAAGACAGGATCTGCTTCATGTTTTAACAGGATGCTTCTGGGGACTGTGGTGAAAACCGAAAATGGGGACGAGGAAGGAAGCAGGGAGCCCTCTGATGAAGACTAGGTGTCAATCCAGGTGAGAGGCCGTGGTGCTCAGACTTGGGAGCTGCGGGTGGTGAGATATGGTTAGACTCAAAACGTCTTTTTTGAGAAGAACCAACCATATTTGCTGACAGATTGGAAAGGCAGTGCGATAAAGAGAGAGGAGTCAAGAATGACTCCAAGGGTTAGGGACCTGGGCAGATGGAAGGGTTGAGCTGTTGTTCACTGAGATGGGAAAGTCAGTAGGAGAAGCAGTTTGCGGTGTTGGGTGAGGTAAGGAGTCAGGAAATCGGTCTTTGTAAACATGTTCAATGTGAGACACCTAAAGTTACCATGTGGAGGTGCTGAGCCGTCGGGGGGAGGGGGGAAGGCAGGGCTGGAGAGGCATTTGGGAGCCAATGGAGTGCAGGTGATACTTGCAGCCAGGAGGCCACAGGGGCTCACCTAGGAGAGAGGGCAGTCACTGAGGAGAGGAGGTCCAAAGACTGGGCTCAGGGCCCCAGTATAAAGTGTTTGGCCCCGGCTGGTGTGGCTCAGTGTTGAGCGTTGACCTAAGACCCAGAAGGTCACGGTTCAATTCCCGGTTAGGGCATATGCCTGGGTTGCAGACTTGATCCCCAGTGTGGGGCATGCACTAGGCAGCTGACCAATGATTTGTTTCTATCTCTCTCTCTCTCCTTCTCCCTTCCTCCCTGAAATCAATAAAAATATATTCAAAATAATTAAGTGTTTTGGAAGGTGGGGAAGAACCAGCAAAGGAGACTGGGGAGAAACCCCTGAGATAGGAGGGGTAGCAAAGGCTGTTGTCCTAAAAGCCAGGTACAGAAAGACCTTTGTGGGGGAAGAGTGAAGGGTCATGTCAAATGCCACTGCCTGGCGAAGGAGGATGTAGATGGTGAGGGGTCACTGTTGACTTTAAGAACACTGATGGGGGAGGGGGGCATGAGCCTGACCAGAGTGACTCGGAGGCAAGAGAGAGGAGAAGAGTTTGAGGTGGGGTGTGCATTCAACTCTTTTGAGGAGTTTTGCTGTCAAGGGTTGCAAAGAAGCAGAATGGTAGCTGGATGAGGATGTGGACTCAAGAGAAGGGTGTGTGAGCGTGTGTGTCTGTGTGTGTCCATGTGTGTGTTTGAGGCATAATAACGTTTGTATGCTGATGGGAATTATCAAGTCTGGAGGCAAAAATGGATGAAGGAGGCCCAAAGGAGAGAACTGCTGGAGACAGGCGTTGAGTAGATGTGTGGGGTGGGCTCTGGTGACCAGTGGAGGAATGGATGTTTGCTGGGAACACAGACGTGCACCCACAAAAACAAAAGAGAGGTCACGGTAGAGGGACAAAGAGCAGGGGGGTGCAGTTTTGTGTCAATAGAGAAATAGAAACCCCCACTCTCATAGCGTGTACTGGTGCCGGGCACTGCCTGAGCCATTTACATATATTCACTTCAATTCTCAGAACAGCCTATGAGAGAAATACTGTCATGGTGCCCATTTTACATAAAGAGGACTGAGGCAGAGCGACATTAAGCATTTTGCCTAATGTCACACAAGGAGCAAGGAGCAGAGCCTGGCAATGACGGCCCTTTGCTTCTCAGTATGAATGGAGGGATGGCAGCTGCGTGGGTGGGTGGAAGAGAGGCTGCAGCGTTTTGATGAGCCCAGAGCTGGTGTGTCCTAATTGGTTTCTCCTTCCGAGACACCTGTCCATTTGCAAAGCACTTTTCAGTCATTACCTCCTGAGTCAGGAGCCAAGGGGGGCAGAGGGTGGGGCTGGTTTCAGTTCCCAGCATGGCCCTGAAGGATAGATTCCTCCCATGTAACTCCTCCAGGAAATTATCAGGACGTTCCCTCTCCTTTCTCTACAGACACCCACGAGGTTCTGAGCACCTGAAGTGCCCCAGTCCTCAGTATTCCAATGCTCCAGGAAAAAAGAAAGAAATCAAGGGGCCAGTAGACCTGGCTCTGTTGCTGGCTGGCTGAGAGACTGTGGCCAAGTCACCTACATGCTCTGGGCCTCAGTTGTCAAAGGGAGGAGAGGCCAGGATGAGATCTTACTTTGTGGGCTTGTTCCATCAGCACATGTGCTGAATGCAGCTGCATGCCAGGAAAGCATAGGGCACTAGGGACGTGACAGCAGGCACAGGGACACATCCTGACTTTTGGAGATCACAGTGAATGGTGGGAGCAGAGGGAGAAGCTGACGGTCATACAGCTGTAAATCCTGACTGGGCTTTGGAGGAACAGTCTAGGGCGCTATGAGAGCACCTTTCCTGAGCACTTGACCCCAAAACAGAAACTGTCTTTGTTCATTCATTCATTCATTTATTCATCCTTCAACACCTGTGAATGAACACCTGTCTTTTGGAGCAGTAGCTTGCACTTTGCATTCCCCAAGGAAAGTATAAATTAAGGCTGATGGAAAGCTGTAGCATGAAATGGGACTGGGAACCAGTTTGTTTCAACCAAACTCAAGAGATATTGGACCTGTGCTACTGTGTGCCAGGTATTGGGGAAACTAGTGTTGAAAGAGCAAAAAAGGGGTGGTCTCTGGCCTCAGTGAATTATCTGGGGTCTCATGGGTCTAAGTATCGGGCAGCGGGGTGGGGAGCAAAGTGGACTGGAGTGAGACCCTGGGTTTGGATTTGATCTTTACCACCCAAGAGTGTGAGACCTAAGGGGAAATTCAGAACATTCTGTAGCCTCAGTGCTCTCATCTGTATGTAAATGTACGAACATTTCCGAGCATCATTATATATGTGGTAAGCACTGTGCATGCATTGCTTCATTGGTTCCTGTCTCTCTCCACGCAGCTGGCGGGAAGTGGAGCTCAGAAAGGAAAAGCGCTGCTAGCATCACAGCATACAGGGCTCTCCTTTATTCCCATAAAGCTCAGCACAGGCGCAACAGGAACTTTGAACCCATGTGGCAGAATGGTCTGTCTCTCCTGCCTCACCTCTCCATGCCCTTTCTGTAAGGTCCTGTTCAAAACCACCCCCTCCCTTTCCTCTCTTCCACAAACACCCGCTGAGCAACTGCTGCCTCCCTCCTTGCCAAAACCTTTAACAGCATCCCAGCCCCTATTGCCAGAAAGGACTGCACAGCCATTAGGCTGGCGTTTGCCACATGCTGTTTACTGTGCAAAGCATTTTGTGTGTATTACTTCATTTGATCCTCTCAGGGGGCAGCTACTGTTATTGTCCCATTGCACAATGAGGAAACTGAGGCTTAGAAAGGTTAGGTAATCACCCAAAGTCATAGAGCTAGAAAATGGCCAAATATGGACCCAAACTCACGTCTTTCTGAGCCTGAAGTGAGCCTCCTGCTCTCAGCCCAGGTGGCCTTCCTCAGGATGGCTCTGTCTCCCTTCGAGTCTCCTATCATTCATGCCAAGGGATTCACCATGCACTTTATTTCTCTGAGCCTTTGCACATGCTATTTCTTCAGCTTGGAACACACTCCCTTCCTTCTGTGCCATCAAAAGCCTGCCCCTGCATGGACCTCAGCTCCGCTGCCCTTGCTCTGAGAGCCCCTCCTAAGGCTCTGGCTGCTCTAGCCTCGGATGATTGGAGAAACACCCCCTCACAACACTGCCTTGCTCCTGCAGCACTGGGTGTGGTTCTCCTTGTGTGGGCTGCAGCGTGCTCCAGGTTCTGGGTGGCCGAGCCTGTGCCAGCACCCAGCTGCCTTTGCCACACATTTACCGGGCACTCGTTACTTGCCAGGCCCTGGGCTGGGCTCTAGGGACACGGGGGTAGGCCAGACAGGTGTGCTTCAGCCTTTGCAGGGTTTGCAGCCAGGTGGGGGAGACAGGACCACGTGGAGGGCTGAGGCCTGTGGTGGGCATGGTGAGGATCTGTGAGCGCACCTACCCAGGACTTGGGACATGCAGCAGGGCCTTGTGAAGCAAGAAATAGTAAACCAAAGTGGATTTAGTTAAATCACGAGGGGATTAAGAGGGAAGGCAATGTCCCAGGAAAGGGAACAGCCTGAGCAAAGGGGTGAGAGCTGGCTGTGACCAGGCTGCCGCGGAGATTGGCATGGCTGGAGAATAGTGTGCAGGGCAGTGTCGCAAGACCACTCTGGAAAAGCAGACTTTGACCCTGTAACCTGAAGGGCTGAATGAATCCTGCCTCTCTCTCCCATTCGTCTGTGGGCCCCAGGTGGCTTTGGGAATAGTCAGGGCTTGACTTGAGTGATCTCTGCAAGCTGCTTACCTGATCTGGACCTTACCCTCATCTTTGAAATGGGAATAATACTATCTGCCACCTCCTTGGGGTGGGGAGAGGATGTAAAAAAACGAGCACAGTCTCTAGCACATAGGAAGAACTCCACTGCACAGATATGATAGTGGAAACAGTAGCATGTTATGACATATTATATAACACATTGTTGTCAAACTAGTATTCTTATCATTCTCGCTGCCATTGGAACTGAGTCATCTCTGTCTGTCTCCTGGGTGGCATGGAGGCTCCTGTTGCCTGCCCAGGTCTTGGACTTGGGGAAGGAGCAGGGAGATGGGCCAGGATCATAGAACAACCCCTCTGCCCTCCAGCTGGGCATGGGCCACGTTATGAGACACCTGTGGCCGTGTGGTCTATTCTAGCAGATGCGCGGACGCAGACCTGGATGCCATGTGAACACTGCAGCCTGGTTGGGCAAACTGCCTGCCAGCCAGGCCCCCTTCCTCAGTGGTATTCCCTTTCTTGGGGAAGAGTTGGCCCACTCAGGGCTGCTTGTCACTTCTCCCTATGGGGTGCCAGGATGTCCAATGTGTTGGTAATCCTGTTTTGTGGTCCTTCCCGTTCAATCAGTTTTCTGCCCTCCCACCTGCTCAGAGCCCCAGAGGACTACCCCTGAGAACTACGCCATGCACAGTCCCCTAGCTTTAAACTAGGCTGGATGGGCCAGAGGGAAGCTGTGGCAGGAGAGAGGAGGGTGGAGGAGAGAGAAGTCAGGCATCCATCTTTCTCTCTGCTCCTTCCTTCCTTCCACTTCTGGCATTGGCTTTCCCAGGACGGCCACAGGGCTATCCCTCCC